CCGCGCCTGGATGATGCCTGCCTGTGAGAAACTCAATTTCATCACCACCTCCACCGATCTCTCTCCCGAAGACCGTGTTAAGGAGATATTTGATCTTCAAGGACAAGTGAGTGAATGTACCGATCTTGTTAGCCGTGATAGCTGTACTTGTTAGCTATGACGGCTGTACCAATCTTGTTGTCTATGACGGCTGTATCGATCTTGTTAGCTATGACGACTGTACCGATCTTATTATCTATGACGGCTGTACCGATCTTGTTATCTATGACGGCTGTACCGATCTTGTTATCTATGACGGCTGTACCGATCTTGTTAGCTATGACAGCCGTACCGATCTTGTTATCTATGACGGCTGTACCGATCTTGTTATCTATGACGGCTGTACCGATCTTGTTAGCTATGACGGCTGTACCGATCTTGTTAGCTATGACGGCTGTACCGATCTTGTTAGCTATGACGACTGTACCGATCTTGTTAGCTATGACAGCTGTGCCGATCTTGTTATCTATGACGGCTGTACCGATCTTGTTAGCTATGACGGCTGTACCGATCTTGTTAGCTATGACGGCTGTACCGATCTTGTTATCTATGACGGCTGTACCAATATTGTTATCTATGACGACTGTACCGATCTTGTTATCTATGACGGCTGTACCAATATTGTTATCTATGACGACTGTACCGATCTTGTTAGCTATGACGACTGTACCGATCTTGTTATCTATGACGACTGTACCGATCTTATTATCTATGACGGCTGTACCGATCTTGTTATCTATGACGGCTGTACCGATCTTGTTAGCTATGACAGCTGTACCGATCTTGTTAGCTATGACGGCTGTACCGATCTTGTTAGCTATGACGACTGTACCGATCTTGTTATCTATGACGGCTGTACCGATCTTGTTAGCTATGACGGCTGTACTGATCTTGTTAGCTATGACAGCTGTACCGATCTTGTTAGCTATGACGACTGTACCGATCTTGTTAGCTATGACAGCTGTACAGATCTTGTTAGCTATGACGACTGTACCGATCTTGTTAGCTATGACAGCTGTACCGATCTTGCTAGCTATGACGGCTATACCGATCTTGTTAGCTATGACGACTGTACCGATCCTGTTAGCTATGACGACTGTACCGATCTTGTTAGCTTGCGGATGATACTAGGATCTGCATGAGGCTGTCATCTGCTGAGGACGCGGTTAACCTCCAAGAAGATATAAACAAAGTTTTCCAGTGGGCAACGGTAAACAATATGATGTTCAATGAGGACAAATTCCAACTACTCCGTTATGGAAAACTGGAGGAGATAATAACTAGAACAGAGTATACTACTGACTGTGGCCATACAATAAAGCGGAAAAATAATGTAAGGGACCTGGGAGTAGCAATGTCTGAGGATCTCACTTTCAAGGATCGCAACAGTGCCACGATCGCACGTGCAAAGAAAATGATAGGATGGATAATGAGAACGTTCAAAACGAGAGATGCAAAGCTAATGATGATCCTTTTCAAATCACTTGTTCTCTCTAGGCTGGAATACTGCTGTACATTAACATCTCCATTCAAAGCAGGTGAAATCGCAGATCTAGAGAGTGTACAGAGATCCTTTACTGCACGTATTAGTTCTGTCAAGCACCTTAACTGAATGAAATTAAGACACACGTGCAACATCTGGGTATCTTTATTGTAGACGTTTCGCCATCCAGTGGCGAAACTGTCTTCAAGTTATGTCCTAGAATTTGTATTGAAAAACCACTGGATGGCGAAACGTCTACAATAAAGATACCCAGATGTTGCACATGTGTCCTACTTTCATCTTGTCGGTAATGTATACCATTCTTGCACAAGCACCTTAACTACTGGGAACGCTTGGAAGCACTTGACTTGTACTCGTTGGAACGCAGGAGGGAGAGATATATCATAATCTACACTCTGAAAATCCTGGAAGGAATGGTCCCAAATCTGCACACAGAAATCACTCCCTACGAATGTAAAAGACTGGGCAGGCGATGCAAAATACCCCCAATAAAAAGTAGGGGCGCCATTGGTACACTAAGAGAAAACACCATAAGTGTCCGGGGCCCAAGACTGTTCAACAGCCTCCCATCAAGCATTAGGGGAATTAGCAATAAATCCCTGGCTGCCTTCAAGAGAGAGCTGGACAGATACCCGGATCAGCCGGGCTGTGGTTCGTACGTTGGCCTGCGTGCGGCCAGCAGTAACAGCCTAGTTGATCAGGCCTTGATCCATCGGGAGGTCTGGTCATGGACCGGGCCGCGGGGGCGTTGATCCCCGGAATAACCTCCAGGTAACCTCCAGGTATGGCGACTGTACTGATCTTTACAGTTAGACTTTACTTTTCATTTTTTTCATAACTGACAAGAAAATATATTCACTAAGATGGTTTCATCTGCCCTTATCGTCCGCAGGTCAACGAGAGACTGCCACTGTTGGAGCCATTAGAAGCAGAGGCCCACGCCCTTCTTGACCGTAAGTGTACAATATATATATATATATATATATATATATATATATATATATATATATATATATATATATATATATATATATATATATAAATGCAACGAATAAGTGATTTTTAAGCAAACTGTGGCTAGCAGGGGATCGAACCCGCGTTATTTTGGCTCGCCTCGTTGGAGGTAAGTAAAAAAAATCACGACTTTATAACAACTGAACCATCAATCTTACTAGATACATCGTGACTTTTTGACTTGCTTCCCAAGATTTGGGCCTAAAAAAACACTGGTTCCAGCCTCAGCTAGCCGCAGATTGCTGTTTGCATATATATATATATATATATATATATATATATTATATATATATATATATATTATATATATATATATATATATATATATATATATATATATATATATATATATATATAATATATATATTTATTTATATATATGCAAAACAACCACTCTGAAAGAATAAGAAATTCCAAGCGCTTTCGTGAGTAGTCACGAAAGCGCTTGGAATTTCTTATTCTTTCAGAGTGGTTGTTTTGCATATTCTGAAATCACCTGTTTACTGTGATCTTATTGCATATATATATATATATATAATATATATATATATATATATATATATATAATATATATATATATAATATAATATATATATATATATTATATATATATATATATGTCGTGCCGAATATGTAAAACTGGTCACTTAGCAAGAACTTATTTAAAATTAAGTCCTTTCTGAAATTTTCTCTTATACGTTTAAAGATATATTTTTTTCATTAATGTTAATGTAAAAAAATTTAATTTTGCACCAAAAGAATCTTAGAAAGCTTACCTAACCTTATTATACGAAGAACAATTTATTTTAGCCTAACCCAACCAAATATATTTTAGATTTGTTTACAGTTATTTAATACAAACAACACGTGAAAAAATATTTTTTTCTTTATTTTCAAATGATTTGGCAAAATTATTGCATACACAAATTTTTTCATTGTCCTATAGGCAAGTGAGCGTTGCTATTTAAGCCAAGACGCAATTCTCCCTTTCGGCAACATATATATATAAAATATATTATAAAATTATAATATATATTATTATATATATAAAAATATAATATATTATAAATATAAATATATATTCAAGGTTAATGTATTGGGAAAAAAAAAGAAATGAACTATAAATCTATTACAGTTCACCTTGAAGCATTATTTTTGATGTCATTTAATCTACGTTAATTCATCTTTTTTTTTAGCAAATTATAAAAAATTTAAAACACCAAACTTAGAAAATTCAATAAAGTACATTAGACTGCAGATTACTTAACCAGACTACTTCTTATATCATAATATTAAAGATTATTAATAATTTTTTTTTTTTTAAAAATCTGGGGGGGTTGGACCCCTGCGCGCTGTTTGGGTCCTCGAACCCCCCTCAGTTCCGGGAAAGTCGAGCACACACAAAAAAAACAGAAAGTGAGGAGGAATCCAAGCGGGATGCCAGCCGGCACGGCCAATTCTATAACTCCCAGTTAGATAGTTTTTTAATATCCATGTTGTTTTGTTAGCAACCCATCTGTCTAGTTCACTACTTTGGTTTTATTTTTGGGGTTGGTGTACGTACATTGTGTGCACGCACATAGCACCTGTGGACACGTATTACATGTATGAATGAGTGTATTCCGGTAACTTTGCCTTTTTTTCTGCCTCGGTACTCAACCCCAAGATTCTCGCTTTTCATTCAGTGATTTTATCACTTCATTCTGTCTCTAATTCGCTTAATTTTATCTCATCGTCATTAATCTTTTTAAACTCCTAGTTTCCCCAATACTTTTTCTAATTTCGTCACTTTAAAATTTTTTAATCGCTTAGCCCTAATACATTTAAACACCTGGGTTTCACTAAACCCCCGCCATGTTTTCATTTTCACTAAACGACGTAACTGGGTCATGAAACATCAACATTCCCAAATTTCAAAAAACAAGTGCCCCAGGCTAGTGTGATCCAAGGGCACTTGACTCTACACTCTTTAAAACAAGTGTCTCCGCAAGTTGATGCTGACCCCCGCCCCCCAACTCACCAATTTCAATAGACTTTATAAATAAAAATTGGGAATCTCACAAACATTCATTTAAAAATTAAAATAAAATATCCAGAGATGAAACCCGAAAAACTGCCCCTCTTTGCGACTTTGAGAATGAGACGGATTGATTTAAAGTCTTTCCAAACTCTTGTGTTAAAACATAAGAAAACAAAGAACGAAGGAACCCGCAGAAGGCCACTGGCCCATGCGAGGCAGGTCCAAGTCCCCACCGGCTTTAAGCCAAGCCCCCAACCCGTCAGGTAGGTCACATTGGTTAAAGGGGGGAACCGGGAACCGACCCGTTAGCACAAAACTTCAGGTTAACTCAAACCCCCCCCCACATTACTCATGTATTTATCCAACCTATTTTTAAAGTAACAACGCTGGCCTAAAAAAGGTACTGGGAGTTGTTCCACTCCACAACTCTATTACCAAACCAGTACTTTTCCTTATCCCTCCTAAAATCTGAATTTTTTCCAACTTAAAACCATTGCTGCGAGCCCTGTCTAGGCTAGATATTTTCAGCACACTTTTTTACATCCCCTTTATTTATTCCTGTCTTCCACTTAAAAAACCTCAATCATAACCCCCCTGATTCTACGTCTTTCTAGAGAGTGCAGTTTCAGGGCCCTTAGTCTATCCTCATAGGGAAGGTTTCTGTACATGGGATCATCTTTGTCATCCCCCCTTTGTACATTTTCCAGAGAATTTATATCCATTCTGTAATACGGTGACCAAAACTGGGCAGCATAATCTAAATGAGGCCTAACCAAGGATGTATAGAGTTGAAGAACAACCTGAGGACCCTATTATTTTATGCTTCTTGATATGAAGCCAAGGATTCTATTAGCTTTATTGCGAACACTTATGCACTGTTGTCTTGGTTTCAGATTACTGCTAACCAGAACTCCTAAATCTTTTTCGCAATCCGTAATATTAAGATCTACTTTTATTTAGTTTATATGTGGCAATGGTTATTGTCCTGTCCAACATTTAGAACTTTGCATTTGTCTATATTAAACTGCATCTGCCACTTCTCCGACCACTGCATCAGTCTATTCAAATCTTCCTGGAGTGCTCGAATGTCCTCGTCAGAATGAATCGACGGCCTATTTTGGTGTCATCGGCAAACTTGCCGATGTCGCTCTTTATGCCCTCATCTATGTCGTTTATGTAGATTGTGAACAGCAGGGCCCAACACTGGACCCCTGTGGAACACCGCTCGTGACGCTTCCCCACTCTGATTTCTCCCCATTTATGCAAACTCTCTGCTGCCCATTTGTCAACCATGCCTCTATCCAGGAAAAAATTTCTCCTCCTATTCCATGTGCTTTAAATTTTCCTCAAAAGTCTCTGATGTGGGACCCCGTCAAAAGCCTTACTGAAGGGCCATATACACAATATCATATTCATTACCATGATCTACCTCCTCAAATACCTTAGTGAAAAAAGTTAATAAATTCGTAAGGCAGGAACGCCCCTTTGTAAAACCATGCTGAGATTCGTTGATTAATTTATGCTTTTCAAGGTGGCTACGAACTGCCTCGGCAATTATTGATTCCATAAATTTTCCCACTATGGAGGTTAGGCTTATTGGTCTATAGTTCGAAGCTAAGGACCTGTCACCTGTTTTGAAAATAGGTATCACATTTGCCATTTTCCACTTATCTGGCACCATGCCAGTTTGTAGTGATATGTTGAAAAGATTAGCCAAAGGTGTGCTAAGCTCCTCTTTACATTCCTTTAGAACCCTTGCATACAGTTCATCAGGGCCTGGGGATTTGTTAGGTTTTAATTTATCTATTTGCCTAAGGACCATGTCACTTGTGACCCTAATCGTGCACAGTTTATTATCGTCCTGTTCTACATAATTTATCATTACTGGAATATCGCTGGTATCCTCCTGTGTAAAAACTGAGAGGAAGTATGTGTTAAAAATTCTACACATTCCTTATCACTGTCAGTGAGCTGACCCGAGGAACTTTTGAGTGGGCCTATCTTGTCCCTGATCTTACTTCTGTATACCTGAAAGAATCCTTTTGGGTTAGTCTTCGATTCTCTGCACTTTAACCTCATAATCTCTTTTTTGCTTTTCTAATTCCCTTTTTATTTCTCTCTTTAACTGAATATATCGATTTCTTAATTGCCCCTCTCCTCTTTTGATTTGCCTATATATGCTCTCTTTTGACCAATCAGATATTTTAATCATTGTTCATCCATTTAGGATCATTTTTGTTTGATCTGATTTCCCTATTTGGAACATAATTTGACTGAGCAGCTAGAACTAATGCCCTGGAAAGCATCATATCGGCAACCATCACCACCTACCTGACCCCTAGTCAGGTCATTCCAGTTCAGCCCACCTAAAGTAATTTTTCAGTCCTATGAAATCAGCCAAGCGAAAGTCAGGGACGGAGACTTGATTGCCATTATTAGGGGAATTCCATGATATGTTAAAACTGATGATTTGTGATCACTCTCCCCAAGCTCATCATTAACCTCAAGATTATTAATTAGTGTTTCCCTACTGGCAAGAACCAAGTCAAGGAGGTTATTTCCCCTAGTTGGCTCTGTCAAAACTGTTTTAAAAAACAATCCTGGATCGTATCAAGAAAGTCACCCGACTCAAAATTTCCTGCAAATTCCCTCCAGCAATCGTCATAGTTGAAATCTCCCATTGCCAACATTTCGTATGTAGACCCCTTACAATTTCGTCCCATAGAAGTTTACTCCTCCCTATAAAGTTTTGGGGGCCTGTAAATCAACCCAAAAAATTTTTTTTTCTCGGCCCTCGAAAACGTAACCAAACAATTCAGTGGTGACCTTCAATTTAAAAATTTCAACCCAAAAATTTTAAATTTTTGTCCCCTGACATACATCGCTACTCCCCCACCTTTCTGGTTGACCCTGTCATGTGGAA